ACTTTTTGTAAACTAAAAAAGGACTGATCATTGAAAAAAAAATTGTTTTGTTTTTTAAAAACATTGCCTACAGGTTCAACAGAATTTGTTCTGTGTCGTGGGTGCATTTGCAAACATAAACATTACACCCACTGAACTAGTACTTAATATGATAACAGACAATTTATCTAATGTACGATTCTATTGTATTCTCCGTTAGATAATTTATTAATGCGTTTATTGGACATACGTATTATTTTCAAAGAAATACAGTCAGTTGCTCATCTGTATTGTCATTTGTAGGTATAGTGAGCAGCAGATCAATCTACACAATCTATCAAAATTTATTTATTGCGTTTTTAACTCTATGTCAATACAATAAAGTTGAAGATGTAATAGAGAAAAGGATAGGTTGACCTGCTAGCCACAGTACAGAAGTCCATGACCATTTCTAGACATTGTCACTATATCTATGTATTATCCTATTCTAGTCTCAGACTATAAAGTTTTTATGTCTGTATGCGATTAAATGCCTTTCATTTAGTTTTATGATTTGTAAAATTACAGGCTTTGATATTTATTTGCAGTAAGTAAACAAGAATAGAAGTTTTATTCATAAATAACAAATTAAAGTTTTTATTAAAATATTCTTTTTTCAGATATGATCGTTTATTTTACGTTATATGTTTTTTTTTTTGTTATAGATTATCTTATTATTGTTATATTATACGTTATATGCTTTTGTTATTTTCAAGTATAAAATAGTTGAAGATGTGATACTCAACTATTCATAAGTTGTTTGTAGTAAATACTTAAAAGGTTTATTTAAAAGGATTTCGGCTTCGAGGGGCATCATTTTGTAATGAGTTTTTAAGTAATTAGAATAGTTTATTCATTGTTTGCTGATCATTAACATGACTAAAATAATATAATTTAAATGCCCTAATAATTGTTGTTACGTTTTATTCCAAAATGTCATTTTTCTTGATTTAGGTTCAAATACAATACCTATAATCTTTTTATTTCTCGGAGAATACAAACATAGTCCGATTAAAATGAGCATTGATAATTTTACTTGGGTAATTGTAAATATGTCAATTTACGTTAGTTTAAGTTTTGTTCGAACAAAACACCGTTTATACTATTTTTTTTTTTCATTTTTTTGGGTGGATCGAACACATATAGAAAGATAAAGTGTTTAAAGAGACATCCGGCGTCAAGGATTTAAGACCAGCTCCTTGATCACTGGTTTCCTGCCTAGATAACTACCACCTACCGTTTTTACTATACAATATATGTCCTATACGACTTTCTCACGTAACTAGGTTGAATAGGTAACTCAACATTGTGACATCTAATACAAAAAAATATTGCTCACGATATGAACTTCAATGTTCGATTAAGGTACTATATTGGTTGCGTCAGATTGCAAAAATCCAGTTTCTGTTAAGTTTGGAGAGGTGCTGGATTCTGGTTTGGAAATTATTTTTAGTAATGCATATAAAATGTCAATCCTTTGAGCATAAATATTGGGTGCAATAGAATCAACTGCTCAATGTTTTAAATGAGGTTTTAAACAGCGGCTCTGTGTGTGTAACAATGTCCTCCTACATATTTTATAGTCAAGTTTAAAACATTAAAATATATGAACTGATTTAGTCTAATAGTGGAACGAGTGTGAAGTGTCTACATACAATATGTTTAATAAGTACTTAGTTTCCGAGTTCTAAGAGACAGATAGACATCTTTGTAGTTAACAAGAAGAGTCGATGTGATGTGGGGGGGGGGGGAATCATCCAATGACTTCCCGCCTTTGCTTAGGCGAGAGGGAGTGTCAGACACTTACTAACTAAAAACCACCCTGTTCCTACTCCTGTTCTTCGAGCCGGAGCCCCGCCAAGGTTAGGTCTTCCGCGGCCCCATATCGGATATCAGCCCTATTGGGCCCCATCTGTGGTGGTCTGATGGAAATGCGCATGATAGGGGGAAACATTCAAAAAGCGCCCGGCTTTATTGGGGAGAAAAAATATGGGAGTGTGAAGATATACCACTCTTTAAGAACGCATTCCTGAAAGATACACACATACATTAATATATTGTTTGTATAAAACCCATAACGTAATGAAAAACGTTTGTAGCCAGGAAGTAGCAGTGTTTACTGTTTACTTCTAAAAATAATAAATGTCCAACCATTCATAATAGTCGCGTTTCCCCAAGACATTACCTTGGCTACCCTTGTTCGTATGTTTTTGGAAAACGAGTGGGCGGTTCACACGATACGCATGTTCAATAGATCGCCGTAAAAGTTAATCGTCCGTGTATACAAGCCCGATAAAAATTCATACGAATAGCTATGGAAACTCCAACTGATGTATCCTTGACAGAAAAGGCTGTACTGTTGTAAATGCGGAAGTTTGTTTGTGTTCGTTTGTTGGGCATTTTTGGTGTATGTATTTCGTCATAATGCAAAAAGATTTAGCGCAAATATATTCATATTCATATTCATATTCATTTAATCATTTGCAAACATGGGTACATAATATATAGGTGTTAACAAAGTTTATAGTTTCTCCATATTTTGCCTTAACTTGGCATGCAAAGATATGTTTTAAAAATAATTACATAATAAAATTAGGTCCATTGAATTGAATTATTTAGAATACAATAATGTCAAAGAAATTATAATTATTCATACCACTGAAGTCAAAAAATTAATGTCAAATTAGATATATAATGTAAAAAAGTAATTGCCAATTATATTATTAATTGTTAGTATAGTAATTGCCAATAATATAAACTTGAAGAAAGAAAAAGAACTATATTGTATTGTATTGGTAGACTTTTCCTAAATGTCGCGGAGAACCTAACGGGTTACCAGGGCTCCGGCTCGAAGCGCAGGAGAGGGAATGGGGTGGTTTTTAGTCAGTAAGAGTCAGACACTCCCTCCCGCCTCACCCAGGCGGGAGCCGTCATTCGATGATTTTCCCACCTTAAAAAGCCTTTTCCCAGCTCACAGGAAGGCATGATAAAAACTAGAATATATTAAAATTGCTACGTAAAAAGTGGAGTATTTTATGAATAAAGTGAGAATTTGCTACACATTCTAACTGTCTGCGCTCAGCATAAAACACTATAACGTTCGTTCCGAGTGCACTAGCTCACGTGAGGTAATTAAACCAGTCTGGTCATTGTTACGGAATTGTATAATTGGATCGGATTGCCACTACAACGTGGTTTATGACGGAACTTAAATGTCATCAGATTGCTTGCTCTGTACATACATACTGATTTACTAAATTGTTGAAAGAATTAAGATTTACTTTTTAATCGAAATTGAATATTAAGATATTTCAAATTATAATTATACTGCCTCGTTAGCCAAGTGGTCGCAAGTGCGGCTGCCGGGCAAGGTCTCGGGTTCAATTCCCGGGTCGGGCAAAGTATTACTGGGTTTTCGAAAATTCTCAGTAGTAGCACGGGGTCTGGAAATAAGCCATATACCGTATGACAATCACTCACCCCCTATTACATGGGACTTATAACATAAATAACGAAAAGTGAGTGTTACATTGTACAGTGGCAGCAGTAGGTAAGTGTCGTAATGTGCACCTCTGCCTACCCCTTCGGGAATAAAAGGCGTGATGTTATGTTATGTTACCATACTTACTACCAGAAAAGTTAACTTCAACTAAAAATGTATCTTAATCGATACTTTTCTGACGATGTTTTTATAATAACCATCGTGAGACATACTTAACTAAAATCGCGGGTTACTCACGTGAATATTCTGAGAAAAGCTGTTAGTTTCGAACTACAGAGCTTTTCCCAGTATATTCACGTGAGTAACCCGCGATTTTAGTTAACTTTTTCTGACGTAGAAATCGAACCTCGTGCTTCGCAGCCACCTTTTAAATCAAAAAGGCCAAAAGCAGTTGTTATTGTTTTTGACAATAATGTATTCGATTGGTCTATGTAGATATCCTTTGCCATCCAATATGTTACTGTACCAAGTTATACACTTAGTGAAAATTGAACTTCAATAACCTTTAAACAAACTTTCTACTGATCGAAATTTCTAATCAGAACTAAGATTTATGAAACTCGCTCATTACCTTTTACTAACCAATAAGTATAAATATGTTCGATGATCAATAAACATGATTGCTCTCGACTCATGGTAGCTCGTAACTACCGACTGATTGCAAGACGAATTTATTGGACGATATCTATGTATATAAAGTACCCATAATTTGTAGGCTGTAAAATTCATTATAGTGTGAGAAATTAGTTACGTATTTGTCCTACTTAGTTATAATACTTGGTTATCATTTACTTTCGAATTATCGAAAATACTAATTAAACCGAATCAACATGGTTTTTAACTGGTTTTATGTTTGCGTAGTATAGTTTTCATTGATTAAGATACCACATTAATTTTAACAATATTGCGTGTAAATACAGTAGGCAGGTACTTCTGTTATAGTGAATTATAAAAAATGAAATGTATAAAATAAAATACAAAGATTTTTTATTAAATTATCTTGCTGATTTTAAAGATCATTATTCTGTTTCTTGATGAGCGTTGTAACTGTATCAGGTAAGAACTCAGTATCAAATTTCCATTTTTGTACAAGTCTCATTTAAAATGCCGTGCCCACGTATCAGTTTTGATGGACTGACGTACGGAAGTAAGATTGTGGCTTCATAATCAGGTTTCCGTACATGTGCCCAATCTCTGCCCAATTAGAACAAATGCAAATTACTTCCGAACCAAACCAAAACTCATTGGAACTTCCGGAGGTTACAGAACGGTAACCATAACCTCAGTTTAGTTATGGTGGTCAGCAAAATGTACCTTCAGCCGATTAAAATAATTACCGTAAAGATCTTCCTACTTTTATAGAAATTTGTTCATGTGTAATATCTAGGATTATTCTCGCTTTATTTAAGTTTATGCATGACAACTACCATATTTGTCTTGTATTTTGTCATAATTTCAACTTTCATTTACCTTGTTTCAGAGAGCTGGGGACAAACGGATGGTCACCGCTTCACGTACCCAGCGTCTCCGCTGCTCACCCAGGGTGGTGACGTAGGGGCTAATGCCTTTTGCCCCAAGGAGCCAGGACAAGGAGACGAGTGTGTCCACGTCAAGAACATACCTCTGGATGCCACTGTCGAACTAGTGATGTTCGATCAAGGTAATTTATTGGGTAATATTTTTTTTTTAATATTTAAAGGTTGTGGTATGCAAAACTGTCATAGGTAACCTGATGGGTACTCTTCCTGACTAAAAATACCCCTGGTGGTTCTATCTCACATGTAAGTGGCATACATGTAAACAAACTGTATTGCAGCCTTGCATTAGCTTCAATTCAATTAAAGGATTACGTGATTTCTTTTTTAAAGCGTTCATCATCAACAGCCTATAAATGCTCACTGCTGAGCAAAGCCTCTTCCCACACGGAGAAGGTTTGAGCATTAATCACCACGCTTGCTCAATGCGCGTTGGCGATTACAAACTTATAAATAGAAATTATAAGTCCAGGTTTCCTCACGATGTTTTCATTCACCGTTTGTCAGTGGCCGGGCCACAACAACTGATTTAAAGCGTTGCCCCAAATAAAAATTATCTCCTGAGTCGTGGGTGCGTTTTCAAACATACAAGTTCACATACATATGACCCAGAACAACAATTTCTGGATCACACAAAGATCTGCTCCGTGCGGGAATCGAATACGTGAGACGTTGCTCGGGAGCTGGTTGCCCAGCCACCGCACCAACCGTGCCGTCAGACCGTGATTATATCTGTACATAGCTGAAGTAGGTCTTATTATATTGTTCTTTTTTATATTTGATTGGCCGACGTTTGGCCACTATCTCGCCTTTCTTCATGCACATCTTAATACCTAGTGAGGTATATATAGGTATATCAAATATCACTTACGAATTCAACTACACGCTGTGCTTGTCTTAAGTAAAATAAAAACTTATCGCATCGCATTACTTTCTCACGGAAACAGCTGAACCTGAACGTGAAAAAAAAAACAATTCTGAATCTATAAATCATAGAACGCTACAGGTTATATTTTATCAAGACTACCATTTTCTAAGACATTTCTCACCAGTCGTCGTCTCGTGAGGCGTGATGCAACTAGGTATGTATAGTAATTTTTTACAAAACCGCACGGTGTAATTATTGCGCGCGCTTCAAGTGCTGTGGTAATAGACAACAAGAGGTTATAAAACACGTGTCTCTAACGACATATTCTACCATCACACACGTGCTCCACTATTATGTAGATCCGAACACATCAAAATACCTCGAAATGTAATTTACTGCAATACAAATTCGACTTTGTATCGTTGCGTAATAAAGTCGGAAATCAAATACAGAAAATGGTGTAGATTGATGTGCTTATATCTGTATTTTAGTGTCTTAAGATTTCCACAAAAATGGACCTCAATGATACTTGAGCTCTACACATTTGCTTTTATTTGGGGAAATCCTTGTACTGATTTCCTGCTTACTTGAGAAATTATTTCTTCTATTCTTTTATTTTATTCTATCTATTCTTTTATTATTATAAATGTAATAGTTTGTAAATAAATACATATCTATCTATCTTTATATTAGAGAAGCACGACCGGTTTAGATAAGTCTAAGTAGGAATAAAAATACTTACTTAAAACCATTAAAAATACTTAATGACCAAATAAAACGATTGGAGCAATTATTTTATTACGTATTCGGTTTATCGCACTGGGATCTTCTATGTATATAATGGATACCTACCTCAAAAATTGTATGAAAAAAACAGTATATTAAGGTACTTACTGATTTTTTGAAGTAGAAGTTTTTGTCATTCCACGACGGCTATTGCTTTAGCAAAAACTCCGGTTAAAACATGGACAGTGTAGTTCAAAGGTGATTGCACCCACTTAATGCTATTATACCTCACTAGGACGGACTCAGAAAAGTATAGTTATTAATGTTTATTGTGTAGAAAAGAAGAAATATAGAGACATTGATACATAATCAAATACAATGGTATTGAAAATAACACCTATATGTACATACAATGACAATAATCGGGATCCCAAACGACCGCTATTACATTTGTCTGTCGCAATTTATTTGATTTATTGTCCAGATTTTGAAACAGGTCCGATACTTACGCAAAGATTTTTTCCATAAAATCGATTACATTGACGTATATATATAGTCGACTGCACAAGGCGATTTTTGTGACGTGAAATCAGTAGAACTTTTATTACTTAATCATATCTTATGGTACTCGTGGGTCAATGAAGAGCCTGTTCTTCATACTGCCTGCAATATGGTTCTAAATGGTTTTATAATTTATGCTTAAACTTAGGGTGCACATTTAGGTTCAGAAAAATATTCTTTTATAAGTCCTTAACAAAGCAGTCTGTTATTGCAATGGATGCTGAATATGCTCTTAAAATACGTGCAAAACATCAAGTTACAATTAATGTATAATTATCTTCTTGTTTAGTCGAAATTTCGAGAATGTTCCGGAAACTAACAAAAGCAAACAAAGCGGAATTAAGTTTCTCACACCGCTAATTCTCTCAGACGTTAATTACGAGACAAGTAAACGTGTATGATATACATTTGTATACAAGGTGTTCGCACAAGCCGTAACGACATGAACTTAGTAGGTTCCCTTATTAGGCAGTTTGTGGAGTACATTTTCCACTTTCCATAACCGAAAGTTTAGAAACGGCACTTGTGTTCAGGTAACTTTGAAGCGTCAATATTAGTGTTAAACATAATGCCGTGTATGGTGCTAATGTTACTTAAGCTTAGTGTACAAATATTAGCAAATAGCTGAGGTGTTATGGATATCCGTCATTCGCAACAAAGTAATATAATGTAACGACATACTTGTTTGTAGTGTTCACTTTTACTCAGTTCATTGGGATGAAGAAATGAAGCCATTGATTTTATTATATTCTAGTTTAGACTCAATAGAGTTTAATTTAGTTATTAAGCCGTCCCGTCATTTAGACATTCTATTCTCAGCTAGCTCAATACCGAGCGCTGTTGTCAGATCAAATTAAAAGACAACCATTAATCAATGGTCAATACTATAATTAACTATTTATACTTTTAAACACCAAAGTAACATAAGATAATTGCAAATACACTGAACAGAACATTGTTATAATATTTATCGGTACTTTTACTTTATAGTAATGAGGATTGCACGATTCTCACGTTATTAATAAATATGAATATTTGTAACAGTGAGTAGTAGACTTGTAGGTACATTTATCATGGTGACAGTGATTCATGGGACTTTTAGATGTATGCTGTATAGTCCGCAATTGCAATGAAATACGGAAGATGACTAAAGTTGTCTCGGGTATAAGGATTGCAAAACATGTGGTGTATTTGCAAATACGTATGTCTTAATGTAGGTAACTGGTACATAGATGTATATTTTTATGAATATAAAATGTATATACATGGGATTGTTTGTTTATTAAAAGTGATCAGTTAAACCTAACCGTAGAAGTTGTTAATGAATGAAATTCATTAGACGTTTCGTCTGTGTTAATGAATAGTAAGATTGAGATAGAGTCTATTTATGTAGTTTATTACTGAGCCAATACTTTTACATACCGATAATTTGTTTACAATATTAAAGCGTATAATTACTACTATTCCATACTACAACAAGGCCTTAAACAATTTGTATAAATTCTTTATTAACACGTTTAGCCATTAACCTACTGAATAAGGCCCCGAGGCTCACCGTGGATGGCGCGGTCAAGCGATTAAAAAAAGTAGGTGTTCTTTTACTATTCGTTGGGCCTTGGAACACAATACCTCACACATGCAGTAGAGAATAGAAAGAAGCAATCACATGACAATTACTTTATAGCTGTGAGCTCATGGCACCGCGCGGTTATATTTTTAGTACTTAATAATTGTTTCTCCAAAATTGTAAGAACAAATGCCACGCAGAAGTATAAGAAGTTATGTGCGTGCAATGAAATTTTTTTATGGCTTATCGGTAAACGAACAGACGGATCACCTGATGGTAAGCAATCGGCGTAGCCCATGGACACCTGGAACACCAGAGGCGTTACAAGTGCGTTACCGGCCTTTTGGAGATTGGGAGTTTAAGGAACGTTGGGGAATCAGGAATTGAGGAGATTGGGTAAGAGGAAGGTAATTGCGCGTCCGGTAACCTCACTCATACGACGAAACACAACGCAAGCGTTGCTTCACGTCGGTTTTCTGTGAGGCTGTGGTATCACTCCGGTCAAGCCGGCCCATTCGTGCCGAAGCATGGCTCTCCCACACTTAAAATTTACGTCAAAATTATTTTCTTTATTAACAATTTTTTTTTCAAACCATTACTAGTAGATTGTACCACGATGTTTCGTGCATAATAGGTCTTATGTTCATTGAGAGAATGCTTAATATCTGAAAGTAAACGATGAACATGAAGTTGCAACTTCATTGACAAGCCTATCCCTCTCCACTATTATAGAAACATCAATCACAGTAGTGGAATATCTTAATCAATCATAGAACAAGCAAGGTTTGTTCCATTGGCTTCGAAAGTAACACTGTGTCTTGAAATCACTTTGACTAGATTTTAGTGTTACATTGTTCTCGCACAATCCAAACAGCAAACTATGTAACTGGACAATTGTATTGTGAACCTGATTGAAAAAGAGTAACCTATGGAGTTTCTTGCTCGTTCTTCTCCATAGGAATCTACACTTTGGAATGAGCAAATAGCTTCACTTCTAATTTTATTGTTGACGTTCAAAAGTGCCTTTCTGGTCTAATTGAAATAAATGATTTTGACTTTGACTTTGACTTTTGAAATGCGAAGCGAATCACAAGCACTAAGGCACAGTTCAGACTATCTCAGTTTAATTGAACATTATTAAAGTAAATTATATGTAGTTTTGATGCAACTATTTCAAGATAATGATATCGTTAAAGCAGTCGACTGGACAATCTTATTGTGTAAATAATTATGAGTAGATTATCTAAAAGTGCCTCGGATTTATACCTCAAGATACTTTTATGACTGCCACGTTGGCCGAGTGGTCGCAAGTGCGACTGCCGGGCAAGTATTACTGGTTTTTTTTAAAGAAATTCTCAGTAGTAGCAAGGAGTCTGGAAATGTGCCCGGTATATACCAAAAGGCTCACCCCCTATTACATGGGACTCTTAACTAAATAGTGAGAATTGGGTGTTACCACAGAACATGGTGTTACATTGTATAGTGGCATTAGTAAGTGCCGTAATGTGCACCTCTGTTTACCCCTTTGAGGATAAAAGGCGTGATGTTATGTTATGTTATGTGTATTTTAGTCGTCTATTGCTTGAAAAGTTTCAAGTAAGTATATAAATACAATTAAAGGTCTTAATTTGTACCTATTGTTCCTCGCACTTTGTATAATGTGGGATACTTTTATCGAAATGTTTGTTCTATGTGAGACTGAAAATTGCTTACAGCAACCTATACCAAATCGAAAATTACATTATAGTTTTGCAAATAATATATTTAGATTAATGACATAACATACAAAGTCCTTCATTTTTTAGTTATTCTATATTTTTTTGTATATTAAATAAATAATGATACATACACGGAACCTAACAAACTAAACCTCCATTCGCATCACACGGCCGTAAGTTTTTTTTAACTGTCTCGTTACGGATCGGCCGACTGCCGTCAATTGGGCCCGTATAATTATTTAAACCGTACCGGACATAAAGTTAGCTGAGTGGGCGAGGTGGCGAGGAGGCGAGGTGACGAGGTGGCGAGGTCGCCGGTCCGGATGGCGACGTAATTCAGTTAAATATCCAAAGATGTCTCGTTTCACCGAATGCATTAACCTAATTTGGATTCCATAAAGTGGAACTGGTTGAGTGACAGGCTGACACCGTGTCGTTTACATTACAATTGTGGAATATGGGAAAAATATGAAGAAGAAATAATAATTTGTGGATAAATTAAAATACTAATTTTATGTTTACTTGTTTTTGTTTATTTATTCTTTGAAAGTTTATAGAAAGCTGATACTGAAAATATGGGCACCAGAATCTAAATTTAATAAGCCCTAACTAAATTAAAATTCCGATACCTAAGATTTTTCTTTATCGTTTACCACTACTACCATCGTCAACCAATAGCAGTCGTCTGCAATACGTGAAGCTTTTGTCGAGTTATATCCATGGCACGAAACTGCTCTATCTACTTTAAAAAACGTAGGAAATAAACTAAAGCCTATTTTTCTTCTTTAAAGTTTCTTGGGGCTTCACAAAAACTCTCTGTAACATTGGAACATTAGTTCTTGGTACGGCTCTGTGATGATAGTGTTGGCCAATTACATTCAATTATTTGCCATTACTTACAACTTTTTTTGTTCCGTTGATGCTTTCTAGCAATTAATCAAAATTATGAACATTTCCACTTATTTTTTACTAATTTCTACATTAATTAGGCCGATTTTTCCAAAGCTATATGTCAAAGGTTAACTAGAGGTAGATTAAAATTGACCTTTGACAGTTTTTAGTATGGAAGAATTGTCAAAAATTCAAAGTTATTTCTTAATTAAACTTTATTTGGCTTTGAAAAATCGGCCCTCTTGTGTGTTTATGAAGTGTTCTATGCGTAAGCTTGCAGAAAACAAATATGTTTTAGAAACATATTTGTGTATCTGTCTTGGCTTCCAGGTTCATATATATTCGATAAATTATGTTAAAATAATGAAGAACTTTAACAATATACTTGTTCAAACAGAATCTATGTATTAAAATTACGTATGAACTAGATTTGAAATCAATTATCCAATTTGCATATAATTCACCAGACAAACACGTTCTGAACTTGCGGTTTTGGTTTTTTATTTATTAATCGATTCTGTAATGTACTGGTTACACTCAAGTTGATTATTATTAATGTTTACAAGGTCGTTAATGTCTCTAAATAACTGTGTCGCTAACCATCGAAATAACAATGTAAGATACTACCACAAAGTTAAGTTCGACGGTCCAATAATCTGCCGTCACCACTCGACACTGGCAGTATAGTCGACAACACTGTATTGGAGACTCCGGGCCAATAAGAAAAAAAAAACAATGTAAGATGCATTTAAGTATGGGGGCTAAACATACTTTTGGCATGTGTATGAGTAAGGCTTTTGGAGACAATAAAAATAAATTGTCATTGTTTTTTATTCAATAACGACACGGAATTTTGCGGGTCCATGGTTGACCCTCGATCAGAGAATGTCACTTTCTAATATGCATCGAAGCGACTGACATTTGATGTCTGTCTGCGAAGATTTGATCATTCTATTGAAATTTTCAGCTCTCGGAACATCCATTACTCAATTAACACTATCGATATTATCATATTAATTGAAGACATCAATCAGACAAACCATTATGGTCTCGTACAGAGAAAATCCATTTATATAATGTAAATGCAATTAATTGAGGGCTGCCTCCCACCTTCCATAATAATGATGAATATACACCGGCTATAATGTCCGTATATTGATTACAGGCGGCGAATCTGACCACATATTCCACCTACACGGCTACAGCTTCTACGTGGTCGGCGTGAGAGAACTCCACAGAAGTTACGACAGAGAAACCATCAAGAAGATGAATGAAGAAGGTACACTGTTCAATAAGAACCTCATCGATCCAGTTGAGAAAGACACCATCGTAATACCTAAGTTCGGTGTAGTAGCATTACGTTTCAAGGCTGATAACCCAGGCTTCTGGATGATGAGGGATGAACGATCATCCCACTGGACCAGAGGCTTAGATTTCATATTTAAAGTAGGGGAAGAAAGGGACTTTGTTCAAGCTCCCCCCGATTTCCCCAAGTGCGGGTCTTATGTTGGTCCCGAATATTTTCTAATTTGAGTCCGGCCAGCAAGCCGATACTAAAGTTACCTTAGATTGTATTGCTCAATTTATTTATTACATTTGTGATATGTTTGTTTAGGTTATTCATTTCGTACAGCTAAATTGGTTTTCGTGGAACGAAATATATACAACTAAATAAATTTGTTCAAATCAGGAAAATGTGTAAAACAATTCATGATAATACCTTTGAAACGTTTTCATGCCAAGGGCCCAATTTCGCTGTAAATAGTTAAATTTGATTTGACTTACATTAAGTACTTATATAACAAATCTATTTACTTTTAGTTGTGTAAATAAAGTATATTTTAACGTGAAATGTATTTTATTCCCTTGAGAATAGAATAAGCTTTCTAGGTTTGGCGGCTATAATGTTGATAAATCATTCGATTACCGTCAGAGTGACTGTGCTGTCGAATTTAGGTGAGGTGTAGTATAAAAACGAGAAATTTTAACTTGAGTGCCCAAATAGTGAAAGTGTGCGTAATTGTGGCTCGACTGCCTGAAGCAAGTGCCTCAGCAGTGAGGCGTCGGCAGCGGCCACAGATAACCAAATGGTTATTGGTACTACTTTTGACGGAAATCGTACATCGTATACTAGCAAAAATAAATAACCTTTTTTGAGTGACTAACAAAATAGTCAGAATGTAAGGAAAAGGTAATGATGATGTGGCGAACGATCAACTTTTTGTTTTGAATAAAAGTAGTTCAGACATGGTGACCGCTGAAACTTTCTCTATATGTAATATTTACTTAACAATACATGCGAATTATTTAAATTGTAGTAAGTATTAGTTAGGTTCAATTAAATTATCATTACCATCATTAATGATTTGGCTGTATAGAAGCAAGTACGTAATATAATATCTATTTGTATTACATAAGCCGATGACGACAACGTTACAGTTCGGGTAACATGAAATTCGATATTTATATAATGAAACAACCAAATGTAGGCTCTAAGTATATGTGCTAACTTATTATATGTATTTCCAGATTATATAACTACGACAGATATGTTGGAACTTGCGTTTCATAAAAATAATACATTAATTGTTATTTTCCTACTCATTGGCCGAGTGGTCGCAAGTGCGACGGCCGGCCATGGGGTCTCGGGTTCGATTCCCGGGTAGGGCAGAGTATTACTGGGTTTTAAAGAAAATCTTTCTAAAGTTTTAAAAAGTAGTAACACCGAGTCTGTCCATTCGAGAATTGTGCCCGGTATATGAAAATGGGCTCACCTCTTATTACATGGAACTGATAATATAAAAAAGTGGATCTTACATTGGACAGTGGCATTAAGTGTCGTAATGTACATCTCTGCTTACACCTTTGTGGATAAAAAGCGTGATGTTATGTTGTGTCATTGTTGTTCTTGTAAAAACTGCATAGAGCATAACATGTTTTTTTGTAGGTGGCAGCACATCGTTAAAGTTTAATGCGGAAAATAGGGCTTTACACTATTTGTACCAAATCACTGATAAATACAATTCACTCACCGGCTTTGGTCAGGAAGTTAGGATTCACTGCGCAGATGGCGCCATCTGTTCTTACATCTTATGTTTTAAGCCTCTCAAAATCCGCTTCACCAATTAAGAACATAGCTTGGAGCTAAAACCGCGAGGCAATGTTAGTTTACAATAATGACCTCACACGCATATAAAAATTGACGTGTATGTCGAAATATAATTTACTGGCTATCGTCTCTTGGCTTACTTTTACTGCTGTCTTCAATTTCGTAAAATGTGATGGTGTTTTGTTTGACAAAACATGTGAGAAATATTTCAACATACAACATACATACAGCTATGTTACTATACACATGTTTTATATGCGAATGTGTGAGAGATATATATATATATATATATGATAGATATATATATGCTAGCTACATTTCTTTGTTTGCACTTTTATGTGGTTTTGGCAACAGTGCCAAATTAGACTTAACAATTACGTCACAACCATATTTTATTATTTGGCGATGAATTATATTTATATTGTTCAGTATATTTACGAAAAGTTAGAATTTCTGAATGAAATCAATGAAGATTTTTGTGCTATAGTTAGGGAACAATGCAGAAATGTCATAATAAACATTATGTGTTAAAAACACTTGCAGCAATTAACGTCTCATAGTCTCTGCCTAACCCCATATGAGACAGGCGTGAGTATATATAAATCCAAGTATTTCTTCCATGGTCTTTCTGGACAGGAACCATACAGCGATAGCGTTCCTACTACGATCCTTACAAACTTCTTTAGCTTCCAACACATTCATGCATCTTCTTATATACCTATGTAGTGAACCTTCACTACTTATTTAAAGGATCTCATTAAACGTCTAACTAAAAATAAGGACTCAATAAACACCAAATTAATAAGTCAGACCACTTTAATGAGTAGCTGTATATTTATAAAAAAAATTAATACCGCCGCCTATCTCTAATCTTGTTCGTTATTCTGTTAGCTTGTAATTTTTTATCAATGGGTACCCGTCAATCACGGAACGGAATGATGTGTTAAATATATGTGCCACTATATCTCTTTTTAAATTGACACTAGAAAGTTTTAGATGTGTGACGAAAACTTTGGATTAGTAGAGACTAGAGATTATCAATCGTCACCCGGATCCGCTCAAGTTACAGAGATTAACAAGACGCTATTTTTTATCCATATTATTTTAATATATAAAGCTGAAGAGTCGCACGTCTGCGTTCACTCGGCTAATAAGACTGCCTTATTTGCCGAGTGGACGCAATTGCGACTGCTGGGTGAGGGGTCTCGGGTTCGATTCCCGGGTCGGGCAAGTATTACGGGGTTTTAAAAAAATATCGCAGTAGTAGCACGTAATTTGGAATTGTGCCCGGTATATGGCAATAGGCTCACCCCCTATTACATGGGACTCATAACATAAATAGTGAAAAGTGGGTGTTTCATTGTACAGTGGCATAATGTACACCGTTATGTTATTTACTTTAGTATGATTTGGGCATAAAGCACTGGACATTAGTCGCCATAAATCAGAGTAAAAATATTTTAAAGTATTTTCAAATATGGAAATACAAACACAACTTTAGATACACATTAAATATTATGTAAGTTTTCTATAGTATCTGCTTGCATTCAAACATAGAACACAATGCTATGAGAAATCAATAGCTGTCTTAAAAGAAAAAAAGAAAAAAAAAGAATTTTAAAAATTGTGCATAGCAACATCGACATGCAACTTGCTTTTTATCTGAGTATCTTATACAGAGTGTTAAATATCTTGAGAGGGAGGAGTGCCTTTTTGTTCTATTCTCATCTTATAAGGAGGTATCTTGCAAATTGCTATCGAACACTGGAGGGACCACAACAGTAAACGAGAAAATACAGATGAAAATTTCTATTCACAGTGCCAATTCCACAGTGGCGTTCGACGATGCTGTTTTGAAATTTCTTTCTCAAAAGCGCTGAAGAGATGAAATTACTTTGGAGTTTTTACTTACATATTGAATGGAGTTGTTTTCTCCCAATACATTAATTGGGTAGTTTCCAAGGTATCAAAAATAAAAATCTAATTAGTCGGTCAGTTAGGTACATAATGAAAAAATATTAGACACGCATTTTTTTATTTTCTCGTATTAAGTTGCAATACTTAGATAAAATGGCGCTAAGTTTAGGACTGGGAGGTTGTTACGTCAAGGCGTAGGCAGACGTGCACATTACAGCACTTAATGCCACTGTACAATATAACAGCCACTTTTCACTATTTATGTTATCAGTCCCATGTAATAGAGGGTCAACCTATTGCCATATACCGGGCACAATTCAAAACTACGTGCTACTACTGTGATTTAAACAAAACTCTGTAATGCATTTGCCCGACCCGCGAATTGAACCCGAGACGCCTTGCCCGGCAGTCTTGCGACCACTCGGCTAAGGAGGCAGTCCACGACATGTAGATGTAGGTATGTTCCACAGCATTCAAATTCAAATTCATTTAATCGTTCGCAAACATGGGTACATAATATAGGTATAACAAAATATACAGTTTCTCCATATAAAGCATGTATCCTAATATCTAAACTCTTTTCTATGACATCATAAAGTGGTCATATAAACTGATAATACAGGTAAATACTGGTTATTGTAACTATTTGTGTGGCTGCAAGAACAATAAAGGATTCGAACTAGAATGTCACGTCAGTTGTAGCATTGCAAATGGCTTTCTGGGATACGGAAGACAGGTGACAGTCTTTTTGCTGGAACACAATTGTCACTTCAGTATAAGCCACATGGTTAGACTATAAACATAAAGAACAAGTTAATAAGGTCTCGCCCCTTATTATTTAGGAGTCATAACATAACTAGCGAAACGTGGGTGATTTAAACCTATATCTACACATTAAGAGAAATTGAATCGTTTTTTTGGCATAAACGAGCAGACGGATCACCTGATGGTAAGCAATCGGCGTCGCCCATGGATACCTGGAACACCAGAGGCGTTACAAGTGCGTTACCGGCATTTCGGGGATTAGGAGTTTGAGGATCGTTGGGGAATCAGGGATTGGGGAGATTGGGGAAGGGGAGGGTAATTGGGCCTCCGGTAACCTCAATCACACGACGAAACACAACGCAAGCATTGCTTCACGTCGGTTTTTTGTAAGGCCGTGGTATCACTCCGGTCGAGCCGGCCCATTCGTGCCAAAGCATGGCTCTCCCACACTTAACTCAACTTGTATACCTTTATTTTTATGATATAAAGCTAAAGAGTTCGTATAAGATATAAGCGATATAAGAGTTCGTATGAATAATTATTTTTGTGTTGAATAATCCATTCGATTCCATCCATCGTCAAGGAAGGATAGAAAGAACCTATAAAACAGTATACTAGGATCTATAGGAGCCGAGCAGAGCGAGTGAAATCGCACGACTGTAAATATAAAGGGCAAAGGAATTAAAAAATATACCAATAAACTTCGATCTCTATATTTTCAATCGAAACCAATTACTTTGCA